TGCAAGAGAGCTAGTCTAGGGTTTTATCTTTTTCCTTTTTAGTTTTGTTATTTTCCCTTTTCCTTTTGATTTGGTTTTTCCTTTTTGTTTTTGATCTTTTTCAGGCTTTCCTAGTTAGATATGGAAAATGATTCACAAGTCCTTGTTCCTATAAAGGCGATTCCACTTCGCCAAATACCACCTCAAAGAAACCTCTTGGACGAACAAGAGATGTCAAGCCCTCAAGCACCACCACCTTCTTGGGATAGTCCTCCAAAACTATCCTCCTTGAAGACAAAGAAGAAACTTCTTCCCTACCTTGAAGCAGCCGACCTGGAGACATCTAGCCAAGCCGCATCTTACAGAGAAGAACACCTTCTAGCCACGCCAGAAGAGGAGATTAACCCTGAGATGATTGAGTTCGTGAAGAGAGATCAATTCCATCATCTGTTTTCAGAGTATGCGCTAGAGCATCTGGATCACTTTGATAATCTTTGTGATTCCTATGGAGTCTTTGACTTTGAGAAGAAGATGATGCTATTCAGCACATCACTAGCTGGACCAGCACTAGATTGGGCGCAGCATGAGCCACTCTCTACAATCGAGTCATGGATCGATTTTAGAGAAGCCTTCTTGAAGAGATTTGCAAGGCTACCACCTTTCAAGTCCAAGTACAATCACTACTCTCATCAGCTGGAGAGAGAGCGTGAAGAAGAAGACTACTCTCATCAGCTGAGAGAGCGTGAAGAAGAAGAATGGGGAGGCATACCACCCCATCTTGAAGAGCTAATCAAGCATGTGGAGAGAAACCCTTTCTACAATTCTACTTCAGAGTGTGCAAAGGAGCATCTATGCAACTTTGAGCAGCTTTGCCACGACTATGGAGTTGGAGATAACCCCAAGAAGATACAACTTTTCCAACTATCTTTAGCTGGACAAGCCAAAGAATGGGCTAAGTTCAACGCCCAACATGCTTTCAAGACTTGGAATGGATACAAAGGAGCTTTCCTCTACAGATTTGCTAAAGGTCCCATTTATGTTCCACCACCACGCCCCAGTAATTTTTCGATGGATTTCCGACGGTTTTCAACAGCACAAAAACGGTCGGTAATCCGTCGGCAATTTCCGACGGATTAGAACTCGTCGGAATTATTGGGATATTTTCGATGGTTTAGCGACAAATTTTATTTCCATCGTATATAGGGAAATATTTCCGACAGTGTTTCAACAGGCATGAAGTCCGTCGTAAATCACAGGAAACATTTCCGACGGTTTAATGAGGAATACAAAATCCGTCGGGAAAATTTTGATTAATTCCGTCTACAATTCGTCGGATATATTTGCGATAAATTTCCGACAAATTTCCGTTGAGAAAATAAGCGATGACTTTCCGACGGAATCATTTTCTGACGGATTATCGACAGATTTCCCGATCAGGACCATTGCGGATAATCTCTCAGTATTCCGCCGGGAAACTGTTTCGACGGGTTCCGACGGCTTACTATCGACAGATTATTGATGAACATCCCGACCATGATGGTTGTCGATAAACTCTCGGTAATCCGTCGTTAATAATTTTCGACGGATTCCGACGGTTATTTACGACGGATTTCCGACGAATGTTGTTTTTCCGACGACTTGTAATTGACGAATTATAACGGTCGGAAATCCGTCGATATAGATGGTTTCCGACGGTTGATCGACAATTTTCTCCATCAGTTTCACGCTGTTTTCTTGTAGTGCCGGACTTCAAACCAGTTCAATGCCACTGCATCAACTTTGGATGGAGCTAGAAAACGATCTACTCAATGGATTTCATCAAGACTAGTTCCCTGCGTGCTCTGATTGAGTTAACTTTCCAACGCAACTGGAACGGCCTCATTTGGATGAGTAGAAAAGGACTTATAGCCAAAACAGCGAAGACTGTCCAAAGCCGATCTATCGAGAATCGGCGCCCAAACCGCGCAGAACGGCCGGCCGAGGAACGCATGTTCCGCTCTCGGCCAAAATTGCGTCCGTCCGTCTGAAGTCTCGGCCAAAGTTCAAAACCGTTCGGCCGATCATGCATCACGACCCGGGAAACTAAGACCCGCAGTCGGCCACGCCACGACCGTCCACGCCTCGCCGCGCACGACCATGCCGCGCGAGCCGGGAAACAAAGCCTCGCGGCCGCGTAACCTATCTCGCGTACCACGGCCGATGGTTCTGTCCGAGCCGGGAAACAACGTCCCACGTCCGGCCGAGAAACCATCGACCATTCCATCAACAGTCCGACCACACCAGCCGATTGACCGTCTGAACGCTGTCGTCGACCCGAACCCGTTTAGAAGCCCAATCCGCACAATCCAAGCCAAAAGCCGGCGCCAACCTAGCAAGATTAGGTCCAACCTGCGACAAACCATTAGAAAACAATACTAAAACAGTATAAAAAGCATGTAAAATAGAGGTATATCAACTCCCCCAGACTTAGATCTTTGCTTGTCCCCAAGCAAAAAGAATCTAATCCGTGAAAGAGGTTTGAAAACGTGGAAACTCCCTTGCTCTTTTGAATATCCTGTGAAAGGTTCCTTTCCTGTATTCCACTAAGAACATAGACAACATAAGGTTAGCTTCACATACACCCTGCAAGTTTAGCGAACAATACCAACCCAACTAGTCTCATCCAGCAATCCAAACTCTCTATTGCTAACCTCTTGCATAAATTTAAAGCGTGAGTTCTTTATCAAGGGACATCGATCAATTGAACTTGTTCTTACCCACTTGATCTTCTCCAAGATTGTCTTTAAGTGCAATGAGTTCTTTTCCTCTCTCTTTCTCACATCAGAACTTTGAAAGGTCAATTTCTCCCTACTTTTCTAGGGTATCATTTTATTTTTTCTATTGACCCTTCTTTCAACCACAGGATAAGTCTTTAGCTTGTTCCTTGTTTGACTAAGGTATTCCATAAGACATGAAGGTACAGACATATGCATTCCTCATGCTTACTTGTTTTCCTTGTGCTCTTTGAGCTTTTTCTCATAAACATTACTTACCATTTGGGATGGGAGAGAGAGGAGAACTCTTTAAAGATTAGACAAATCTTATTGAAAATCAAGCAAGGAACTGTCGACATGTATGCCAACCCCCTTGACAAGAGTATTAAGATTGATTAAGGGTGAGGTTAACTCTAGATTGCTTGGTTACCTTAGAAATTTTGCTGAGCTAGCATGTCGATCCACTGTAAGAGCTTCTGTTAGGCTTGTGCCTTTAGCTGGTTTCTGCTCTAGGGTCATGGATTGTTAGCACAACACTCTCAATTCTCAAAGCAAGTTCATAACTTCCGGACTGGTTTTTGACTCAATAAAACTTTTTGAAAAACATGAAACAAAGTGAATAAAACATAAGAAAAGAAAGAAAAATGCATTAGTAACACAATAAAACTCCCCCCAGACTTAACTTGCACCGTCCCGGTGAAAGCAAATCACATTAAGGTGAGAGGTAATATTCAAAGTAAAAGAAAAATAAAAAAAATTCATTAAAATGAGATAGGGATAGAAAATGGAGATTTGTAAGTGTCCATTGCACTAAGTACCACTTGAGATGACTATGTGTGGCAGTGAGAAGAACTCTCTTCCTCATCTATGGGGTCATCGCCTTCTGAACCAAGCTCTGAGTCTAGTGAGAACTCACCAAGGTCAGGCTCATATGGCTCTCTAGCGGTGGAAGAAGGGCGAAAGTGTGATACCCCGTATCAAGACCTAAAACATCCCAAAGGCCGGGATGGGAAGATCAACACTCTGGGATTGGAAGACAAAGACGTGGGATCTAAACCAGAGATCACAACGAAGACTTGGATCAAGACAGGATCAAGAACGATCGAGCAGAAGTGAAGATACAGCAAGATTGTCCAGGTGGGACGATCATTGTACGAACATGGGAAGAGTCAACAGGACGACGAAATATCAAAGTTCTCCAAATCAAGAAGAGAAGAGTTTGGACGACATAAGAAACCATTCTAAGAAGTTTGGTCGAAGCAGAATGCAAATCGGACGAGCAGATTGAGAGATGGGACGGACGGCCAAGATCTATCCCACAACGACTGCAAGAAGCGTAAATGTTCGGGATGGAGGTATTCTGCACATTTCCAAGCAACTATGTGGAAGCTCAGAAACATGGAAATGAGAGAAGGATTAAAATAGGAGACGAGGACGAAACCCTCCGGACAGGGAAACGTACGAAACCCTCTGGACGAGGAAACGTACATTGGAGTAATCTTGTTCTAAGCCAATCAAGTGGTGACACCAGCTACTTTGGAGAAGATAAGGATGATCATAACCAATATGGAGAAGACATGCAGCTACTACAATGGAGCCAAAACCATTCAGCCAATCAAGTAGAGACATTGAGCTATTGGAATGGGACGAAATTGTGTTGGACCAATCGTGCGTCAACACTACCTGCTAGGAGAGAGTGAGGCCGTGGATAAGCATTCTTATTGGATGATCTTATCCAGAAATGGACGAATCAGATGGAGATACACAGCAGCTTCTAAGACGGGCCAATCATGTAACAACATCCAGCTACTGAATGAGGACGAAGCAAGCCTAAACTAATTGGGCAACGACACCAGCTGCTATGGAGGAGAGAGGGCGTGGATAAACTCCAAGAATACCTAATGCTATCAGGGGGAGACACCCAGCTGCTCATGAAAGACAAGGATTGTCCAAACCAGTCAGACGGAGACACAGAAGTGCTCAATGGAGACGAAATTGACTTGGACGAATCAGGATGCAACACCAACCACTGAGAGAGAGGAGAAGCTTCAGGAGTGGATGAGAAGCAAGTGTAGAGATGCAGAAACGGATTGGATCAAGAGATGACCAATCAGACAGAAGCACCCAGCATCTTAATGGATAAGATGAGTTATAACCAATCGGACGATCACACAACATGCTTGGGGGAAGTCGGCTCATTGGATGAGCATTGAGAGAGGATAGGAATGACGTGTGTCATGTCCTGAGACGCCCTAGAGGCCACCAATCAAAGCTACCTAGCCTAGATCACCTGCATGTTGATATACCTCTAATTTACCCACTTTTTATACTGTTTTAGTATTGTTTTCTAATGGTTTTTGGCAGGTTTTCTATCTAAAAAGGTAGTTTTACTGTGTTTATAGTGTCTAGAGTCTAAACAGGTGAAATGATGCATTTTGGAGCAAAACCATAGGATTTGCACTTCAAGCCGCTCCATGCACAAGCACCAACTTTAAGAGGGCCCAGAAAAAGATCTACTCAATGGATTTCATCAAGACCAGTTCCCTGCGTGCTCTGATTGAGTTAACTTTCCAACGCAACTGGAACGGCCTAATTTGGATGAGTAGAAAAGGAGTTACAACCAAAAGAGTGGAGACTGTCCAGACGGCTCTATCGAGAAACAGCGCCCAACCGCGCAGTCCGGCTGGCCGAGAAACAATTGTTGCGCTCGGCCAAAGCCATATCCGTCCGTCTGAAGTCTCGGCCAAAGTTCAAACCGGCCGATCACGCAACACGACCCGGGAAACATTGCCCGCGGTCGGCCAAGCAAACGTCACGCCACGCCGCGCACGACCATGCCGCGCGAGCCGGGAACAAGGCCTCGCGGCCGCGCAACCCGTTCGCGTACCACGGCCGATGCATCCGTCCGAGCCGGGAAATAACGTCCCACGTCCGGCCGAGAAACCATCGGCCAAATCTTCGTCCGCCGACCACGCCGGCCGACCGTGAATCCATCCGGCCCCGACCGTTCCGACTCGGCCACGACCCGATTGTCCGGCCGATCGTCCCGCACGACCGTCCCAACGCCGCGGTCGACCCGAAGCCCTTTTGAAGCCCAATTTCATATTTTCAAGCCCGGCTTAACCCTAAGCCGCCTCTAGAAAGACCTAGCACTATATATATAGATTTTTAGCCTCTTGTGAAAAGAGAGCCGCCTTGTATTTCGATTTCATACTTTGAGTTTTATTGCAATCATGTTTTCTTCATCTCTTTGTGTTTTTGCTTTGATTATGTCTGAGTAATTCACTAGTTAGGTTGTGAGATCTATCAAAGAGTTCATGGTTTGATAGGTTGTTAGAAGTCACATAGGGTTTATCATATCGCATCTTCGCCTCTGCTTGAATTCATTGCTGCTTGCTTTTCTGATCAACTAGCATCAGATCTTAGGTTTCATATACTCTCCAAAAGCTTGCTATATAACCTGAACTAAGTATTTGGTGAGCAAAACTTCATAGACTGCGAAAGTTGATCTATGCGGGGTTGTGAACAATTGGGTCTTGAACGAACTATTGCTTGATTTAATCACCTAGGGACATACCAAAAGTTTAGCGACTAGGTAGATTAACAAAGGGGTCGGAGCCTCGACAGTGGAAAGATCATACAATCGTGACCTGAGTTCTAGATAGCGCAAACCCTAGCGAACCTTCTAATATCTTGTTAACCTTGAATCTCTGCGAGTTTCTCATTGCCTAGCGTTTCCCACATTGATTTTCATAAACCGTTTACTGCTTTATTTAGTTTGTTAGTTACATCAAAACCCTAAATCATACTTGTTTTCTAGCTAATTAGACTTGCAATTCGAAGTGTACTTATCTGCTCCTTGTGTTCGATACCCGTTTACTACTTTGACCTGTGCACTTGCAGAATCAGGGATAGGAAAAGGGAAAACCTGATCCCGCACATCACATGTCGCATTCTGAGGCAGTGTAGGTTGCCACCAAGCAAAGCTATGCTAGGCCTAGGTCTCCATGTGTCTGCGCATGACTGGAGACGTCCCAAGAAGCCAGGCAGCCTCCTGAACTCCTATAAATACGCTCCTCCACCCCAAGTCCAAACCATTCCATTCCCAAAGCTAGAGAGCACCTGAAAAGTGATTAGAGAGTAATTAAGAAAGTTTTCTTAATTAAGTGAGGTTAGTGGAAGATTAGAGTAGGTCAAGATCAAAGCTTAAGGAAAGCTAGGAGGATCTTGAAGTCTTCTTAAAGTGGTGAGTCTTGGTGTTATAGTTTTAGTCTTTTGGATCTTTGTTTGTGTATGCAGGTTGTATGAACACCAAAGCATAGGAGATGCTTTCTGTTCATATTGGTTATTGGTTCTGTAGTATAACTCTCTAAACAATAAGGTTTAGTAAAAATTGTGGAGAGTTATGCTGCAGAAATTTATATAATGTGTTGTGAGGTTGTGATGGATAATCTTCTAGAGAGAAGTTATGCCGTCAGATCTCTTGTGTGTTTATATGCAGGTTTGCATTGTTGTGAGGTTGTGATGGGTAATCTTCTAGGGAGAGAAGTTATGCCGTCAATCTCTTGTGTTGTGAGGTTGTGTCGGGTAACCTTCGGGGAAGGTTAGGCCGCCAGATCTCTTTTGTGTGTGAGGTTGTGTTGGGTAACCTTCCGGGAAGGATATGCCAACAGATCTCTTTTCTGTGTAAGATTGTGATGGGTAACCTTCGGGGAAGGTTATGCCATCAGATCTTGTTAGTGTAGATGCATATCTATACATTAGGTGATGTGAGATTGTGGATGGCTATGCCGCCAAATCTCATAGATGCATCGGTTGTGGGGTTATAGCATGGCTATGCCGCTAAACCTCGAGTGCATACTAACATGGTGGTGCGTAAGGCCCATATGTTGAGTATGACTCCGATGTGGAAAGATCACGGACGGCTGAGCCGCCAGATCTTTCGAGGTTCGTGTGGGTACTCTTCCGAGGCAAGGGAAGCTCTGCCGCAGAACCGGTGGTATGAGGCATAGTGGTGCGTAAAGGCCCATATGCTAAGTACTGAGAACATGTGGCGTGTCTAACCACATGTTGTCTAGGAAGGTGTAGTCAAGCGCATTCTCGCACGTCAGAGCCCAACCGGATTGGCAGCGAGGAGGCTGTGCATGAAGGGAGGAAGACTCGGAGGATAACCTGGTCAGCTGCCTTGGCCGAGTATGGTACCATATGACGATATGGGATCCAACCAGACATTGGCATGGTGCGCCAGTAAGGCCAATAGATGGAAGGATGAACCGGGTACCGCGATGGACTGTAGTGCCCGGGTGAAGGCGTTCATCTAGTTTCTGTGTGATTCCGGATGAGCGTGAACCTTCACAGGCGTGGGCAGAGAATGTGGCTAATGCACCTAGGCGCCTTATTGCATATAGAAAACAAGTATTAGATACTTGTCTAGGTTTGCATGGGCATTGCATATAGATTGCTTGTTTGTATGTTGTTATAGTCTTGGATTGATCGTACCTGTTCTTGTTTGATTGGGGTACGGTTAGTCTTAAGGCTATAGCATCATTATTGTGTGTGATTGCATATGTTATGTGTTGTGCTAACCTCAATGCAGGTGAGGCGGGGTTAGCCCGCGGCGTTTGTGTTTGGAGTTTAGGGAATCCCCCTTGTATAGAGGTCCTAGACTCACTGAGTAATATTAGATTACTCATTCCTTTTGTTTAATGTTTTCAGGTGACCGTAGAGGTGTGAAGTAGAGCGGACCGCTGCAGGCAGTAGGCGCCAGAATAGTTTTGTGGTATGTTTTTGTAAAATTATGGTTTGTTGTTTGGTTTGGAACTAAGGATCGATCCGCATGTTTTTAAGTCGGATTTTGTAAGCACTCTGATATTTTAATAAAGGAAAGTTTTATGTAAAGACCTTATGTTCCAATGATATTAGCTTGGTCCGGGCTAACACAACTCCTGACCGAAGTACGGGTTGGCAAGCCTTAGGCTTTGGTCAAGAGGGTCGAGTTCGTGGAACGGGCTGACCTGGGCTCTGATTTGTTCTTAGTCTGGGATGGCCTATTCGGCGAACATCGACATTTTGTGGCGCTTCTCGGAACGTCTGTGCCTAGGACGGTTCGGGGGTGTTACAAATGGTGGTATCAGAGCATGGTTCATGATCATGCTCGGGAACAAGGATTTTAAAACGTTTTATCGAGTCAAAAAGGAGTCGCAAAAACTACCTTAGGTAATCTGGTCTGTCTGCAGCATATAGGTAGAATGTTTAGGTTGTGGTTAAGCATTGCTTGATGTTGCTTATAATTTCTGATTGATCATGCATGTTCTTGTTTGATTGTTGCATGGTCAGTATAGAGGTTATGGTAACATTGTGCAATGTGGTAAGCCATGTTTGAGGTGTCTATGGGTGTTGATCATCCATAGAATAGATGGATGCGGATCATCCATGGGATAGATTGTGTTGAATAGGAACCCTAATGTTTGCTTTGTGGTGATAGCTTGAAGTCATGAGTGACTGGTTTGTGGATGATGAGGGGTCGTGGTTTAGTACTGGGCAAGAGTGGACAGCTGAGTCTGGATCGTCGAGTTCAGAACCGTCGAGCAATTCGGAGCACTGGATCGTAGTGACGGACTTGGAACAGCAGACACTAACAGATCATGATAGCAGCAGTGATTGGGACGAGGACGTATATCTCATGCCGAGAGACAACGTGCAGCCCAGCACAACGGTGAATGAGTATGGCGAACACATGACATGGCCAGTACATTACCCTGAGGAGGAGAGAGTAGTGCCATCTACCCAAATCATAGAGATCAGTTCAGGCGAGACTACACCAAACTCTTGGGATAGAGATAGTCCACCAAGTGTTCTACCGCATATACCAATGCCGCATGTATTTGCACCGGGAGGTGGAGTATACCCGTACATGCCAACGGAGGAGAATCCAACGGACTACGTGTACCCGTTCATTACCAGTGGCGTAGAAAGCAATGATCCAGCCGTTGCAGTTCAAGTCAATAGTGAAGTCTTCACAAACCAACCTGAAGAACCGGATACGCCGGAACCAACATGGGAGGATTATCTTGGACACCAGAACGTATCACCCACGTACTGGACAAGGAAACTCAACGAGATCGCTGGATACACATCATCAATGGAGCATGGAGAAGGAAGCATACCTCAAGATCAAGGAGAAGCTAATGCGATATGGTGTACAATGTATGGAGAACAAGATGCACCAAACTCGGTGGCAGGCAATGAATATCAAATACCGGATCTTAACCAAACCACGGAGGAAGGTACCGGAGAGAATGAATGGCCACAAGATGATGAAGGTCTTAACTTAGCAAGAAGGTGGGATGAGATAATCGCCACAGAATTGGAGAATCTCAGAACAGAGGGTAATGGCCAAGAGCAAACTGTGTCACGCCAAAGGGGAAGGCCTCCCAGAAGACTCGCGAGGATGAGAGTCCCAGCACCGTCTCAAGTCACGCTACCATGCGATCAATGTGGAAGGACGGGACATCATAGCGAGCATGTCCCAATGTGCGAGCTAGATCAAGGATGAATGAAAGGCAGAACATTTGCCTTACTTGTGGAGAGAAAGGACATTTCTCAGCAGACTGTCCAAGGAACTGCCCCAGTACTAGTCAACCCACCCGCTCAACCACAAGGAGAGAGAGGCGACCAGGGAGTGGAAGCCGTAGAATGTAAGATAGAGTCTAGGAACCCTAAACCACATGCCGAGAAAAGGTATTTTTCGGGTTCTAACTCAATCTTTGAATGGTTTATTTTCTTGCTTGCTTGGTATAGTAAGTAGGATTGTTTGGTGGTTTAAGTTGAGTTTGGTAGAGACATCGTTTAGGAAACCCATGTTTTGGGAAACGATGTGGTGAAAGGAGATTCCGATGTTTCTATTTCCAGGGGGAAATGAAACTAGAGCGGATATCCTTGGAACCAAGTGGTTCTGGTAAAGTAGTTTTGGGTATTAGCACATCGAGTGGAACCCTTAAAGGGAAGCGATGTGTTAATAGAAGGAAATTCCGTGAATGCTGTTTCCAAGAGGGAAATAAAGCTAGGACGGAAATCCTTGAGTAAGGTTAGGTGGTTAGCGAAGTTAGGAGAACCTCGCTAGAGTGGTCAGACCGGGATCAAGACCAACAAGGGAAGTGTTGGTTAAGGTACGGTTTTGACATTAGATAACCCATAGTTAAAGCCGGGATGGATGGTTATGGGAATGGAGATTTGAGCAAGGAGGATCAGAGGAGATCAGTGGAAGAGGAGTCTGCAAGGGGACAACGTGAAGACAGAGTAAGAGGAGTCTGCAAGGGACAACGTGAAGACAGAGTAAGAGGAGGCAAGGCATCTTCAAAGATGGGGAGAGAAACCGGAACAATGGAACGTTCCCACTCTCTACAACTGGAATTCGGGGACGAATTCTATTAAGGGGGGGAGAATGTGATACCCCGTATCAAGACCTAAAACATCCCAAAGGCCGGGATGGGAAGATCAACACTCTGGGATTGGAAGACAAAGACGTGGGATCTAATCCAGAGATCACAACGAAGACTTGGATCAAGACAGGATCAAGAACGATCGAGCAGAAGTGAAGATACAGCAAGATTGTCCAGGTGGGACGATCATTGTACGAACATGGGAAGAGTCAACAGGACGACGAAATATCAAAGTTCTCCAAATCAAGAAGAGAAGAGTTTGGACGACATAAGAGACCATTCTAAGAAGTTTGGTCGAAGCAGAATGCAAATCGGACGAGCAGATTGAGAGATGGGACGACGCCCAAGATCTATCCCGCAACGACTGCAAGAACGTAAATGTTCGGGATGGAGGTATTCCGCACATTTCCAAGCAACTATGTGGAAGCTCAGAAACATGGAAATGAGAGAAGGATTAAAATAGGAGACGAGGACGAAACAATCCGCACAATTCAAGCCCAAAGCCGGCGCCGACCTAGCTAGATTAGGTTTAGCCGTCTTTCATACTTAGAGCATTATAAATACTTCTTTTTAGCCTTGTAACTCAAGAAGGAGAGAGACCACATCTATTTTACATCTTTAATAAAGTTTTGCTTGCTTTTACTTTGTTCTTGCTTGTTACTCTTTCTAGAGAGGATTCGAATCTCTGTTCTTATGAATATGAATTCGTGTTCCTTCTCTATGTCTGAGTAGTTTACTTGTTAAGTGATAGGAAGTCAAAGGATAGCATTCATGTATGCTTGATGATTGATCACAATTAGGGTTTTACTTATAATCTCCATCTTTGCTTATACTTAATGCTTGTTGTTAATCTGGCCAATTAGCATATGCCTTTAGGTTGATTTGAGCCTCGACAGTGCTGTATCATTCGCCTGAACTAGTATTTGGTGGGCAATCTCTTTTAGACTGCGACAGTTGATCTACTTGTAGGTTGTGAACAATTGATCTTGATCGAACTAATGCTTGATTTAATCACCTAGGGACATACCAAAAGTTTAGCGACTAGGTAGATTAACAAAGGGGTCGGAGCCTCGACAGTGGAATGATCATACCATAGTGTTTCAAGTTCTAGATTAGCACCTAAGTGCGGTAACCCTAATTGATTGATTTCATGCTTCTTGAATTGCTTATCTCAAGACTATCCTATTGCTTAGCCTTTCTCTCCTATTGATTCTCACTTTATTACTTGCATGCTTTACTTTCTCTGCACTCAACCAACTTATACTTTTGCCCTAGCTTGATCTCAAACTCATAACTTGTAGTGTGCAATCTGGTCCTTGTGTTCGATACCCGTTTACTACTTCTGACCTGTGCACTTGCAGAATCAGGGATAGGAAAGGGGAAGACCTGATCCCGCGATCAAGTTTTTGGCGCCGTTGCCGGGGACCAATTCGCACCTACAAGTTCTTGCAAGAGAGCTAGTCTAGGGTTTTCACTTTTCCTTTTTGTTTTTGTTATTTCCTTTTTTCTTTGATTTTGTTTTTCCTTTTTTGGTTTTTCCTTTTTGTTTTTAGCTTTTCAGGTTTTCCTAGTTAGATATGGAGAAGGAGCCACAAGCCTCTTCCCCTATAAAGGCGATGCCAATTCGCCACATACCACCTCAAAGCAACCTCTTGAGCGAACAAGAGATGTTAAGCCCTCAAGCACCACCACCTTCATGGGATAGTCCTCCAAGACCATCCACTTTGAAGACAAAGAAGAAACTTCTTCCTTACCTTGAAGCAGCCGACCTGGAGACGTCTAGCCAAGCCGTCACACCAAGAAGAGTACCTTCTAGCCACACCAGAAGAGGAGATTAACCCTGAGCTGATCGAGTTCGTGAAGAGAGATCAATTCCATGATCTGTTTTCAGAGTATGCGCTGGAGCACATAGATCACTTTGACAATCTTTGTGATTCCTATGGAGTTTTTGACTTTGAGAAGAAGATGATGCTATTCAGCACATCACTAGCTGGACCAGCACTAGATTGGGCGTGATGCGGGATCAGGTTTTACCTATTCCTATCCCTGATTCTGCAAGTGCACAGGTCAAGTGTAGTAACGGGTTATCGAACACAAGGAGCAGATAAGTACACTTCGAATATTGCAAGTCTAATATAGCTAGAAAACAAGTATGATTTAGGGTTTGATTGTGTAACAAGTAAATCGAAATAGCAGAATGAATGGTTTATGAAAATCAATGGATGGAAACGCTAGGCAGTGAGAAACTCGCAGAGAATCAAGGTTAACAAGATATTAGAAGGTTTACTAGGGTTTGCGCTATCTAGAACTCAGGTCACGATTGTATGATCTTTCCACTGTCGAGGCTCCGACCCCTTTGTTAATCTACCTAGTCGCTAAACTTTTGGTATGTCCCTAGGTGATTAAATCAAGCAATAATTCGTTCAAGACCCAATTGTTCACAACCCCTCATAGATCAACTGTCGCAGTCTATGAAGTTTTGCTCACCAAATACTTAGTTCAGGTTATATAGCAAGCTTTTGGAGAGTATATGAAACCTATGATCTGATGCTAGTTGATCAGAAAAGCAAGCAGCAATAAGTTCAAGCAGAGGCGAAGATGCGATATGATAAACCCTATGTGACTTCTAACAACCTATCAAACCATGAACTCTTTGATAGATCTCACAACCTAACTAGTGAATTACTCAGACATAATCAAAGCAAAAACACAAAGAGATGAAGAAAACATGATTGCAATAAAACTCAAAGTAGGAAATTGTAATACAAGGGCGGCTCTCTTTCACAAGAGGCTAAAAATCCATATATATAGTGCTAGGTCTTTCTAGAGGCGGCTTAGGGTTAAGCCGGGCTTGAAAACATAAGTTTGGGCTTCAAAAGGGCTTCGGGTCGACCGCGGCGTTGGGACGGTCGTCGGGACGATCGGCCGGACATCGGGTCGTGGGCGAGTCGGAACGGTCGGGGCGGATGATTCACGGTCGGCCGGCGTGGTCGAGCGGAGATTTGGCCGATGGTTTCTCGGCCGGACGTGGGACGTTCTTTCCCGGCTCGGACGGCATGCATCGGCCGTGGTACGCGAGATGGGTTGCGCGGCCGCGAGGCTTGTTTCCCGGCTCGCGCTTGGTCGTGCGCGGTGGCGTGACGCTTGAAGCTTGGCCGACCGCGGGCAATGTTTCCCGGGTGCGTGTGATCGGCCGGTCGGTTTGAACTTTGGCCGAGACTTCAGTCGGACGGAATCGGTTTTGGCCGAGCGCGGAACATCGTTTCTCGGCCAGCCGGACTGCGCGGTTGGGCGCTGATTCTCGATAGAGCCGTCTGGACAGTCTCCACTCTTTTGGTTATAACTCCTTTTCTACTCATCCAAATGAGGCCATTCCAGTTGCGTTGGAAAGTTAACTCAATCAGAGCACGCAGGGAACTGGTCTTGATGAAATCCATTGAGTAGATCTTTTTCTGGGCCCTCTTAAAGTTGGTGCTTGTGCATGGAGCGGCTTGAAGTGCAAATCCTATGGTTTTGCTCCAAAATGCATCATTTCACCTGTTTAGACTCTAGACACTATAAACACAGTAAAACTACCTTTTTAGATAGAAAACCTGCCAAAAACCATTAGAAAACAATGCTAAAACAGTATAAAAAGCATGTAAAATAGAGGTATATCAACTCCCCCAGACTTAGATCTTTGCTTGTCCCTCAAGCAAAAAGAATCTAAATCCGTGAAAGAGGTTTGAAAACGTGGAACTCCCTTGCTCTTTGAATATCCTGTGAAAGGTTCCTTTCCTGTATTCCACTAAGAACATAGACAACATAAGGTTAGCTTCACATACACCCTGCAAGTTTAGCGAACAATACCAACCCAACTAGTCTCATCCAGCAATCCAAACTCTCTATTGCTAACCTCTTGCATAAATTTAAAGCGTGAATTCTTTATCAAGGGACATCGATCAATTGAACTTGTTCTTACCCACTTGATCTTCTCCAAGATTGTCTTTAAGTGCAATGAGTTCTTTTCCTCTCTCTTTCTCACATCAGAACTTTGAAAGGTCAATTTCTCCCTACTTTTCTAGGGTATCATTTTATTTTTTCTATTGACCCTTCTTTCAACCACAGGATAAGTCTTTAGCTTGTTCCTTGTTTGACTAAGGTATTCCATAAGACATGAAGGTACAGACATATGCATTCCTCATGCTTACTTGTTTTCCTTGTGCTCTTTGAGCTTTTTCTCATATCACATTACTTACCATTTGGGATGGGAGAGAGAGGATAACTCTTTAAAGATTGGACAAATCTTATTGAAAATCAAGTAAGGAACTGTCGACATGTATGCCAACCCCCTTGACAAGAGTAATTAAGGTTGATTAAGTGTGAGGTTAACTCTAGATTGCTTGGTTACCTTAGAGATTTTGCTGAGCTAGCATGTCGATCCACTGTAAAAGCTTCTGTTAGGCTTGTGCCTTTAGCTGGTTTCTGCTCTAGGGTCATGGATTGTTAGCATAACACTCTCAATTCTCAAAGCAAGTTCATAACTTCCGGACTGGTCTTTGACTCAATAAAACTTTTTGAAAAACTTAAAACAAAATGACTAAAACATAAGGAAAGAAAGAAAAATGCATTAGTAACACAATAAAACTCCCCCCAGACTTAACTTGCACCGTCCCGGTGAAAGCAAATCACATTAAGGTGAGAGGTAATATTCAAAACAAAAGAAAATTAAAGAAAGAAATGACCTTCAATGGGTTGCCTCCCATTCAGCGCTTTGTTTAAAGTCTTTAGCTTGACTGTATGGCACTTCTTTAAGGATCTGGTGGATCGCCAAGAGCTAGTGTGGTCTCCTGTGGTATGGTTGTGGAGGCTAGATAAGGTTTTAGCCTTTGTCTATTGACTGTAAAGTCTCCTCCCATTGGATCCCATAGTACTACTGCTCCATAGGGGCGAACTTCCTTAATCCTGAATGGTCCTGACCATCTTGAGCGAAGCTTTCCTGGAAAGAGTTTCAACCTTAAGTTGAATAGTAGAACTTGGTCGTTTGGCGCAAAGTTCTTTGGGATGATCTTGCGGTCATGGAAAGCTTTGGTTCTTTCCTTATAGATCTTTGAATTCTCATAGGCCAGATGCCTAATCTCATCAAGCTCATTCAGCTG